AGCCTGGTGAGTGAGATTCAGGACAGGCACCAAAAAAAAAAAAAAAAAAAAAAAAAAAAGAGTCTAAAGACAGTCTGGGTTGCAAAATTAAGACTTTAATCTCAAAACTAACAAAAAAACGACTATAATACCAGCACTCGGGAGGCTGAGATAAGAGGATCAAGAGTTCAAGGCCAGTCTGGGCTACAAAGTGATGCCCTGCCTCAGTGAACCAATAAAAATGCCTGTAATACCAACACTCAGAAGCTGGGACAGGCAGACAGACTTTAAAGCCAGCCTAGACTATATGGCAATACCTTGTCAAAAAAGAAAGAGAGAGAGTGTCCTGGCTAGGTTTATGTCAACTTGACACAGCTAGAGTTATCTAAAAGGAGAGAACCTCAACTGAGAAAATGCCTCCCTAAGAGACAGCTATAAGGCATTTTCTTAATTAGTGATTGATGGGGAGGGTCCAGCCCACTGTGAGTGGTGCCACCCCGGGCTAGCAGTCCTGGGTTCTATAAAAAAGCAGGCTGAAGCCGAGTGGTGGTGGCACACACCTTTAATTCCAGCACTCGGGAGGCAGAGCCAGGCAGATCTGTGAGTTCGAGGCCAGCCTGGTCTAGACAGAGAGATCCAGGACAGGCACCAAAGCTACACAGAAAAACCCTGTCTCGGGAAAAAAAAAAAAAAAAAAAAAAACCCCCGGCCGGGGGGGGGGGGGGGGGGGGGGGGAGCAAGCCATGAAGAACAAGCCAGTAAGCAGTTCCCCTCCATGGCCTCTGCATCAGCTCCTGCCTCCAGCATCCTGTCCTGACTTCCTTCAGTGATGGACTACAATGTGGAAGTGTAAGCCAAATAAACCCTTTCCTCCTCAACTTGCTTTTTGGTCATGGTGTTTCATCACAGCAATAGAAACTCTCACTAACACAGAGAGACGGGGGAGGAAGGAAGAGGAGGAGGAAGAGGAAGAAAGGAGGGGAGGAAGGGAGGGAGGAGGAAAGGGAAGGTGGGAGGAAGAGGAGAGGAAGGAGAACCTGGACTCAGCCTCCTTTAGGAACATGCACATAGTTTCTGAAGACCTCTGAGCAGGACTTCATTGCTTAAAATTTTCATCATCTTCCAGTGGCAACTTCCTGGGAAGTAACCCTCTAACATGGATTATTCAGATCCAAGTCATAACTGGAATCACCTTAAAGCTACCCTTGGACATTCTAAGCTGAGATCTGGGAAGGATTGAGAACTGTCTCAAGGAGACACCTGGGAAGGTGGGCTTATGGGATTCAGTGACATCATCATCTAATGTGTGCCTATCATACACAACAGAGGCTTAATAAGCAATTGATGGACGGGTGGATGGAAGGCTATGTTGTCTTATTCGCTGCTAAATGTTAAGAATGCAGGAAGGAAGGCAAAAATAACTTCAACCACAAGGTCTTAGAAGGGAATCATTCTTAGCTCTTGCTGAATCACGTTTTTCTAGAGAACTGATAGAATTCATCCATCCATCCATCATCCATCCATCCACTCACAATGACAGATTGGTAAGGATGCTGCAGGGATTAGCACTGGGGACCACAGAACCCAGGACACAGGACAGATTGGTAAGGACACTGCAGGGATTAGCACTGGGGACCACAGAACCCAGGACACAGGACAGATTGGTAAGGATGCTGCAGGGATTAGCACTGGGGACCACAGAACCCAGGACAGATTGGTAAGGATGCTGCAGGGATTAGCACTGGGGACCACAGAACCCAGGACCCAGGACAGATTGGTAAGGACACTG